GAAAATTTCAAACATGAGTCCCGAATGTTTAACTTCCTAAATATTTTGCGACAAAGAGAGCATCGGGAAATGATAAAATATAGAAAGGAAACGGAAACGGGAAGAAAAGCAACAAAAGGAATAAATATGCAAAAGATAGGAGAATATGAATTCAAAATCTAATTTATATTAAAAATAAATCTGTGTAAATTTGGACATTATTGTATCGGATTCATTAATGCGAACTGCTGCCGAAAGGAAAATTATCAATTATGGCCTGGAAAGACTGACAACTCCTGTAAATGAATTTCATTAAAAAAAATATCTATACGACCACTTTGAGTTTTATTTGTAAATTTATGCATTTTTTTCAGACAACCCGAAATCGGTTACCAAATTCACAACAGTAAATTGACATCATCAATAATATGCTTGAACGCCTGAAACTTTCTTTGAAATCGTCGAAATCGCCTTATTTTGAGGAACGTCGTGAAACGCTAAGTAGTACCAACATCGTGCGCAACGTCATAGTAAACAATGAAAACAACACTCTACAAAATTCATGCGTCCGAAGCACTTTTCTGGATTTATCTTCATCAGGAACGTTCAAAACCGAATATTTGAAAGCCAAGGATGTATAAGAACCGAAACAAGCTGAGAAATTTCATTGATGTACAATGATAGATTTCCTAAAAATGGACATCCAGCACAAAAACCAATAAAAAAGTTCACTCAAGCATAAAATGTAGGAAATAGCGAGACAACTTTGCTTCAAATAGTGTTGTACTATATATATACAAGACGACTTTGCAACGTGAAATGCTGTTAATATCTTATCACGTGTCGCTCAGTCTTTAGTTTTATATATGTTGTGTTTTGTATCCTGTTGTTTGTCTTTTTGTCGATTTTCATTTCTTGTCATAGCGTTGTCAGTTTGTTTTCGACTTATGAGTTTAAATGTTCCCATAATATCTTTCGCCTCTATTCTAACACATATTTTCGGATAAATGAAACTTATCGAAATGTTAACCAAAAATTACCAGAGGATGAGAAGTAGGTCATAATTATTGACACAAAGGTTGTTGAACAGCTACATTACTATACAATACAGCTGTTAAAAAATGGACATAATCGCGTTTTAGATTTCGATGAACGTAATGTATGTATAACTGGTCAATTATTAAGTCAGGGATTTCGTTACCCCAAATTACCTAAAACTCTTTCTGGATTATTTTATAGATACACAGATTTATTTTTGAAGTTTGGCTGTACCTGTAGAATTCTTATTATAAACGGGATATCACATCTTAATTTTTACGCTGATTTTGTTTATAGGAGCCCGTGAATTTATATACGACCAATACACACTAATTGATCCTTTAAATAAACTTATTCTTAAAGTTTTTCAATTCAAAACCGTATCAATGTCTTTTGATATTGTTTTTATCGGTCCTAACATTGATAAATCAAAACATAACTTAGTATGTATTGCTATATATTTGAAAACGTATGGTCTAGAACCTGTCGATACTATGTACTATAGTTTAGCATTGCACAAGGTTATGCTTTTCTCAGAGTGTTTATGACGCCTCTATACTAAATCCGTTGGATGTGTTCTAATTGGTATTTTAGTCTGTGAGAATATGATTTATTTATCAGTTGTAATTTACTTTGAACCATAAAATAGCCTTCAGTAACTGCGAGTACCCTTAGACCGATACTTTGTGCCTTTTGTCTTAATGTTAGTTTTTTTGAACCTGTCGAAAATTTTCGATATTTATACAAGTAGTTATCTATGTCTTTGATACGGTCCCTCTATGAATAGGCTTCCACGTGACATTGTATATTTCAACAATGAAAGTGCATTTGAAGATCGGAAAGTAAAAAAATAAAGACTAGGTTGCAGTCAAAATTCATTTATATACTGGAACCTATTTGCCTTTTGACAAAACATATGTGTTTTTAATAATGCGAATGTTTATTGAATATCAAGTATAATAATAACGCAATTATATAATTCATGTTTTGAGGTAGGTAGTTTGACATCCGAATTCAACTATTAAACATTAGATTAGTATATGTGATGGCGCAAATGCGTATTCTTATCCAGAGTATCAGTGCATATGCTTTCTATTTATTATTTCTTGCTAAAAAAAAACCACGTGCATGCATAAATATCAATTTCACTCGCGAATGTGAATTTTCGCATTTCTTATCTAAATTCGGGACATGGCAGTACGAGCTTGACATGTGACTTTCAAGCATGGTCATCATTACTTAAGGTATTCTGACCTCTAGCTGTTTCTCTTTTCTTTTTTTGAGTGACTGTCCTTTTATAAACATTGAAATTTTCGAAATGCTAAGGATTTTCTACCCCAGGAATAGTTTAGTTTAAACAGTATTTTATTCAAATAAATTGAATTGGATTGGACAACAGGCAAAGCCTATGTAAGCCCTCTCCATAAAACAAGGTACAATATATTACATTCAAACAAAACAACACATACACAAACATAATGACAACACAGAATTATTTTTCAAAACTAGCTCATAGCTGACTTGAAGGATGCTTCAAATAGTTAACTCAGATAAAAATATAAATATTCTAAGAATGCTTCAAATAGTTAACTCAGATTTTTTTAATTAGTATTCTAATTAATAAACTCCAATATTGATTTAGAGGCCTTACATTAAATTAAACTGTCTCCAGTCAGCTGTTCAATATTATTATTATAATAACTCATTTTTTCAAAGCAACATGTTTGCTATCATGTACTTATCTTTACTAATTTTACGATTTTAGATTAACTTTGATGTATTCGAGAAAACCTTTGTTTCAAAATTTTAGGTCCTCAATGCCTTTCAACTTGGTACTTTATTTAGCCTTTTTAACTCTTTTATTCGAGTGTCAATGATGAGTCTTTTGTAGGCTAAACTCGTCTGGTATACAACATTTTGATCCTGGTATCTTTATATATCTACTAATTTTTTTTTATATGAATTGATTTCTTTTGAGAGTATGTTCAGGTATTCATAAAACTACTGAAAATAAGATATTCTTCAAAACCAAATTTTTCTGTAGAATATTTGGATTGATGTAACTTCAGGAAATCCTTAAAATTTGAGATGTTTTATTGGACCAAAATAATTGTCAGCATATAAGAGATCCCAATGAAGCTGGTGAGTTACTCTCAAGAAAAATATACGAAACCTTCTTATAAGTTGCATGCCACAGGGTTTCACTTCACATGGAAAAATTGGACTTTTCGATTTATCTATACAACATCTACCATGGGTACAGGCAGCTTCAATAATGAGTATAAGAATATTTGAAGGCATCCATGAAACAAAATATGAAGATATAATAGATAAAATAAATGCATCCAGATTATGAAGCAAACTGAGTGCTTAGATTTATATTTCGATTGGTTTGTGCAATTTGCATTAGACATCCGGTTTGCAGAAACTGGAATTTTCAATACGATTAAGAAAAAATGATGTACACTCCCAAGTAATGAATAGAATAGTCAAGCCTTAAAAGGTAAATTCAAATAGTAGCTGTATATACACTTTGTAGATTCACAACTAAATCCAACATTGCTTTCAATTGACTTGTGCCAGAATCTACACACAATTACATATTTAAATAAAGGTGTTTTAACATCATCATTAACTTATTCTATTCACAGTCAATTATTTCAAATCAAAAGCAAATAAAGGTCAACAACAATTTTTTTATGACCAGTCAGCGGGCTCGGGTTCACGTGTTGCTTTTTTGTTTTTTAAAGAAAGCAACTTGTTTATATTCGTGCCAAACTGGTCAGATTAGTCATTTCCAACTGATTTCACAAGTTATGTTGTGCTGTTATATCACTGTCCCAGGTCAGGGGCAGGGTGTTGGGCGCCCACAAACCATTTTGTAACCCCGTCGCATTCTTTATGTGCCTGTCTCAAGCTAGGAACCTGCAAATTATAGCTGTTCTCGTTTATTAATTTACATAAACCAGGTCGTTGGTTTTATCTTTTGAATGTTTCACCTTTTTTCACATTTAGTCATATAGGGGCTTTTAAAAGCTGACTATACAGTATGAGTTTTGATCATCGTTGAAGGCCGTAAGTTACAATCGGTATAAGTCACGACAATATGGTCTTATCAACTCATGGAAAAAATTTAACAGACCACGGTTTGTCTATAATCATTTCTATATACAATATATGTACATTGTCGAAAAAAAATGGATTTGTACTCGCTACGAAACCAGAGAAAAGCCCGGCGAGCCTCGCTTTTTGTCTTGTTTCTAAAGCTCGTACAAATAGATATTTTCCGACAATGTACTTATATTGTATATAGAAATGATTATGGACAAACCGTGGTCTATTTCAAATTTGTCTATGAGTTGATAAGACCACTATGATATTGTCCCGACTTATACCGATTGTGACGTATTAGACCGATTCATGAAAACACAGAATTTACTAAACTCAGCAAGCTCACCACCAAATTGGCCCAGCTATTATAGACACGGCACATATTTCACAACTTTTAACAAAGATATTTTTTCAATTGTGAACCACTATACCTTATTATTAAAAACGAGGCGTGTTTTCTTTAGCTGCTGTTATACCGAACGTCGCAGTTACAATTCGTATGACTTAGCCGCCAAACAAAAGGTTACTAAACCAAATATGATAAGTTTGTTTCTATAAAAGTTTTGTTATAGTGGCTTTACGTTTAAATTGAAGGATGTTGGAACTATTACAAATGTAGTTGTATGTGTATAATAAGTTTTAAGCTAGCAATAACAACCTCAATGCCTCAGTTTTTCTGATTTCTTTTTAGGACAGATTCTCACTATGGATAGCAATTAATAATTATAATATTTCTACTAACAATAATTTGTGTATACATGTATGTGTATAATAATTTTTTTAAGATGCAGTTTCCATAAAGTTATGTTTAGTCACGTAAAAATTGTACCCGCACCGACATCCAAAACCTCGTAAAAAACTTCTAACTAGAATTCAGTTTCTACTGTGTTTATCTCTTCTGTGTAAAATAGTAGATTTTTTTTAATAAAAAGTTATCTAGCAATAATTGCAACAGTACACAAAGAATTGATAAAGTTACAATTTATAACAGATAATGAATTTAATAAAAAAAAAAATTGACTAGAACATTGTTTATAATTATATAAATTGAAATTGTCGTGCATTCCATCTTGTGGTCTTCTACACAAGTGATCTGAAAAGATAACGTAAAACATTATATTAAATTATACATAAAAAGGAAGAAATGATAATACAAAATTAATAAAAATCTGAAAAATTTGTTTCACTAATATTTTATCATTTAAACTGTTTCGATTACTTATTCAATATGATACCATAAAACCAGAAATACTTATGAAATATTTGTTCTTTGTAAACAATTTATCATAATTGAATCACCTTAAGCTTTATTGTTATAAAGAATTAATATAAGAAAAGATTAACAAGTATATAATTATGTACAGTCTGGTTGTGATTATATTGGACAATCATAAATAATGATGGAACATTAGATTAAATTTGTGATAACTTAAGTTATTATCTGATAATGTATGAATTTACCTGCCGGATAAATCTTCTTCCGCCAGGTTGTTTTTCTTGTTCTACCCCGTCTGTCTGTGGTCTGCTCATTAATTATAGATTATTATCTGGGACTGACTGTCCATGGCCGTGTTAAATTGATTGATTTATGCGAGGCTAATGTGCCAACATGATTGAATATTAGATAATGTCTGTATTTTGGCTGGGACTGACCACTACAAGGTCATTTCGACATCTGTTTGATAGTCTTCTGTCTCGCCATATCCAGAATCCATAGAGAAATTCCCTCTGCCGTGAATTATATGTCTTTTTGTGCCATCTATAACCATTTCTTTTTCTACGAATTTATAATTGTCCAGATTTTGAGATTTTTTTATACTTGTACAACTGTCTGAAGTTATTTTGATGGAAGGAATATGAGGAACTGCCAGTCTTTCACATTGTGTATCACAGCTTTGTTTTTGCACTTCATTGTCACCTACATACCAATCACTGTTGTCAAGGTTACAAGAACTCGTTCCCATGGAGTTACTATTCGAACCATGGAGCCTTTTGAATTTTATTTCCTCTATTGTTTCATTTAACGTCAGCAGTTGTTTCATAAGAGATAAATCTTGGTCCATTAAGGAGGCCTAAAATATATAAATAAAATATATAAAAATTTAATCGGTAAATTCGCACACGGATACGTCCTTGATTTGCATTTACCTTTAAAATTCATCGGCACTTTAAAATTACAAAGAACACTGTGTTCAAACAAAGTCTACCATTCATTCCATAAACAAGTCTTAAAATATTGTTTTAGTCTCATTATCTGTAATTATTTTGTATTTTTTTTATGTAGCTTACGTCTTTAACTTGGACCATTCATTTGTCAAACACCAAGGATACAGGAAGAAATTTAAATCGTGTCAATATTTCTGGAATCGCTCGAAGGTTCTACATATATTTGGCGTAGATTTTCGTCGCCAAAAGTTTACTTCTGATGTATCAGCATGCCTTCTCAAAGTAGGGGGTATGTCAAGATTTAAAGATAGAGCTAATTTAAAAAGAGGTCAAAAGGTAATGTCTATGTCATATCACCAGAATTCCACAGTTCTTTTTCCATTGAACTTATCTGACTCTTTGATCAGAAGTTTACAGTTAGGTATAATATACCCAATTATAATATGAGATTGACAGCGATACGACCTAGGCTCTATTGAGATTGTGTATTGCTTTAAAGGCCCTTCACCTGCGACATCTACCTGTCCAGGTGTGACATATTGGTGATGTGTTATCTAAATGTTGCTTTGATCGTCCAGTTTGAATACCTAAATAATAGTTTGTTACACCCCCAGTGAGCCATCCTTTATGTAGATTTGCTATATCATAGTAGTTGTTACAATGTTGCATTAACACAATAAATCTGAAGGATTTAATAGACAATTATTGTTTAAATTGCTCGATAACACAAAAAAATGTCTGGAATTTCCAATAACAGACAATTAAACTGTGAACAATTACATGTCAATATAAATATATGTTATGAAATAAAACGCAACGAAAGTAAAAAAGAAATAATATATATTTTGGACATGTCTGTCCTAGGAAAACGGCTATGTTACATTTCTATGTAGTGTTACATGATACTGATGCTCTATAGTCTAGATACCAGATTGTTTTTGGGCAATCGATACATGTATTGCATTCATTTCATCGAAGACGCGACAAAAAAAAAACGTAAAAGGATAAACACGTCTTTGGTTTAAATTGTCATCTATAATAAAGTTTATCCTTATTAGCACTCTGAATTTTTTTTCTAATACATATACGTGCAATTAATGTACACAATTTTGTTAAAAAATAGAAAAACAACCTTACCATTTCTTTTCTAAGTGTTTCCATAGCACTATCAATTTTTGTAGTTTTTCTTTTGGAATCTTGCTGACAAGATGCATTTGATTCTGCAACTTGTCGTTTAAAATCTTCTGTTGCCTTAAGTCTTGTCATGTAAAATTGTCTACATGAATTTGAAAAGTCAATTGATTCACATTGTTTATCTACAGTGTCTAAAATTTCCATTTCCAATTAATGCAGCAGCTGCAGCTTTTTCTTTAAAGAGATTATCAGATGTTTCACCTGCTATAATATATATGTGTCACCTGTTGGATTTTTAGCTATAAGAATAAGGTAATGTACAATAACAATGACTATATTACTTACCTGTTTACACGTGACTTATGGTCAGTTGATTTCATTGGTTCATGGCACGAAAGGCTATAGTATTCTAATGTACTCGGTTGGAAAAAGGTATACTTCAATTACTGCATATTTGTAAAATGATGTACAATACACACCTAAGGGGGATTGTTTGCTGTCTTTGTTGTGGAAAATAGACTGAACTGTTCAAACAAAATGCATTGAACGCGTTATCTTAAAATGTTCTTGTGGTTAGTTTAATTGAGATGCAAGGATCAGATTATGGTTATTTTACGGAAAATCGTATTTCACGGTACATTAAACGGTTGAAAGGGTTTGAAATTGGTCATTTATGTAGAAATGTTTTTTTAGTATAAATGTATAGTGAAAATATTATTATTGAAGAACTATTGTGACATTCATTCAAGAATACTTCCGGAGGTTGGTGTGTCTGTACCTGCGATAAAATCATCTGAAATCAATATCATTTATAATTCTTTAATTTTACTACCTGAACATCCCTTATTCAATAAATTTTAAACCCAATTTTGATTATACAATATATGTATAATGAACTGTTATATTTCCTTACATTAGTTCCTACAGGCTGAGACTACTATAGCACTGTGTTATAGTAGTCTCAGCTACAGGACAGAATATTGGTATGTAATTAAATCTTTACAGAAAATTTGGGATATCAGTTCCAAAAAGACAGAATGTTGACATAATTTTTATTATAATAAAACCTAGATAAAGATAAATAGGAATTTTCTTTGGAAGATAAAATTAATGTTTTTGTTATCTCCATGCACTGCACCTTAGTCCGTCTCGTCTTGTATGGGTCGTTCGAAATAATATCTAGATATCGTATAAATTGCATTTACATCTTAACATATAGTATAATACAAAAGAATCCTGGTGAACCCTTTCGAAAAGCGGTTGGATGTGGTTTGATGCTGCAATAGCACTTCCAGAGCTGAAACCCCATCCTGTCAAATAACAAGCCAACAAACCTCTAATGACCCTGATACCAAAGTGCGATTAACTATTTGACAATTTATCATTTTTTGTATTTGTGAGTTAATCATTCATCAATACAGTAGGAGTCCTTGAAATTTAATTTCTTTTATGTTCAAGCCCTCCTGGTTTTATATCCGAGTGCAAGTTACTCCAGAGATCACTTTAAGATAACACATGCATATAAGATAGCTTGAAGTATCAATTTGGTTTCCTGGGTAAATATGCGTTGTGACGAAATATGTCCTGTCGGTAATAGATGACAACAGCCTTAGTCATTTTATTATACAACTTAAATGAAGTAAACATAAGTGCACTTAACGTTGACCATATAATGTGTAAAAGGTTAAGTAAACAAAAGTACATATTTATTGTGTACTGAACATGCAAACCAAAATAAGAGAAGCAATATTTTTTTCAAAAATTGTGAATTGCTTTCATTGCTCTCAAATCTTTGAATAATATTTTGTTTTTTTTCTCCTGCAATGTTTTATTCACTGAGATTTCCAAACTTAACTTTACACATACTCTGATTACATTAGCAATATATTCCTGAATAAGAAACAAATTGCATCAAATAAATTGTTTTAACACATAATGACTTATAATGTTTGCATGCTTCAATAACACGATAATTTCGACCTTAACGACATTTACAATAAACAATTACACTATATGCATACATTTTTTTCCCAACCAAACATTTTACTTGCGTCACATAATGATCGCTAGATTTAATTCACAATGTAGCTTGAAGATATATATACTGGTGTTTTGTCTGTAAGATTATGTCCCAGCTGTAAGTAAGTGCAAATTTCTGGTATGCAATCAGGAAGTAAATAAGCACCAAATAAACATGTGTGACCGTTAGATATTTTGCACAGGCATTTCGAGAAAACAATTGCAGTTTATATTCATGATTTAAAGTGCAAAACCTAGTTCAAACGTTATTGTTGAACACTGTTTTTACGCTTTCTAAGCAATTGACAATATACTGCCAGTATTCATCTTACACGTATAGTTTTTTATTATAATAAGAAGGAAGATGCTAAAGCAGGAAATCTATGAAAGAGGGACGAAAGATACCAGAGGGACAGTCAAACTCACAGATCGAAAACAAACTGACAACGCCATGGCCAAAAATAAAAAGACAAACAGACAAATAATAGTACAGATGACACAATATAGAAAACCAAAGACTAAGCAACACGAACCCCACCAAAAACTGGGGGTGATCTCAGGTGCTCCGGAAGGGTAAGCAGATCCTGCTCCACATGTGGCACCCGTCGTGTTGCTTATGTTATTACAAATCCGGTAAATAGTCTAACTCGGTAGGTCACATATGATTGAATGAGGTTGGCCGAAAATATAACAAAACACTCAAAACTAAAAGCCATTGTTATTACCACCAGCAACAATGTATGAAAAATCCAAGAGAAACAAAGTCAACAACAAAAACATTCAAAACACAGACAAACAAAAAGTAAAATATCAAAAATACCGAACTCCAAGGAAAATTCAAAACGGAAAGTCCCTTATCAAATGGCAAAATCAAAAGCTCAAACACATCAAACGAATGGAAAACAACTGTCATATTCCTGACTTGGTACAGGCATTTCCTTATGTAGAAAATGGTGGATTAAACCTGGTTTTATAGCTAGCTAAACCTCTCACTTGTATGACAGTCATATAGCATTCCATTATATTGACAACAATGTGTGAGCAAAACAAACAGACATAATAGGTAAAAATGTCAAAAATTGGGGCACAGCAGTCAAAGTGTTATAATCTTAATTACTGTGAAAACAAATAACTATTTAAACAAAGAAAAACAAAATGGCACATAGACACTCTATAGACAAAGTACATAAGCAAAAATGAAAGACAAGAATACAAAAATTACCATAGCACAATAACACAATGGCGGGATGTATAAATACCTAGCTTCGCCAACAGTATATACCAAAGATGGACTAAACAGTAAAAGTTAAAATATACAAAGACAAAAGAAAAGAACACTATAACACGTGATTAAGATGATAAACAACGTCAGTACCTAGAATCTATACTTCAAGACCATCATGTATTATTTGTGAAGTTGAATATTTGCCAAAAAGGTCTTGGTATCTTCCGTTGAACTTTTTTAGAAAAAGGATGCAACGTTCTTTGACAAACGTTTGTATTCGGACCATTTTCATCTCTTTTTGTTATAGTTAGAACTTCGGTATACTTCTTTTTCCATTCTGAATTCTATACAAGAATGTTCTATCTCGAAACTCGACACCAGAGAAAACGACAAGTATTATGTTTAAGAACAAAACATACTTAATATCGTTTCAAGGGGAGAATATTTAAGCACACAACGTACAAAGATGTATGCTAACATATTTTCAATGAATAAGTTTTAAAACCACAAATATGTCAATTTTAACAAAATTGCTCATAAATAACATAAGATGCACACCTTGTCTGAATGAAACTTCATAGCTACCGCAAAATGAATATTCTACTAGACATAGTGGTGTGTATGGCTTCAAGGCATTTATAATCCGTGATGTTTTTCATTTATCTCGGATTATATCGTGCAGTATTTTCATAAGAAAACGTTTTATTATTCTGCAAACTGTTCATTCAGACATTAATGTGATATTTGTAGAACTATCATAATGCGAATTTTGCAACAGGGTGAATGCTGCTATAGTAAAAACACACATTTTACTCTTCCCGGTAATATTCTTTCATATGTTTCTGTACAAAAATTGCCATATTAAGTTGATGGTCTTATGGTTGGTTACCATAAGATTACCACTAAGTACATGTATATCAACTCAGAGACAAATTGAAGTTATATATTGTTTTAGTGTGGTAATCTACCATAGCACACGAAGCAATAGCGAGTATATATAAACTGGAGGCTCCAAGTAGCCTATATCGCTCACCTGGCATTATTGCATAAAACGGATACAATGAAACTAGAATATTTGCGTTGAATGGAAACTGTTTATATGGGCCGACACCTTGTCTTGATGATATTTTAGCTGGACAGAAATTTGGGTCGATCCATTGTTGTTTTGTAAGGTAGTATAAAAAGTTACAATTGTGAGTTAGGAACAATAAATCCTATAAGGAGTCAATAGACGATTTCAATAATTTGACTTGTTTGTAGATCTTGTGTTGCTGATAAAATAAGCTTCAGTCTTCAAGAGATTGGGTAAACACTAAAATATTTCCAAAATCATCACTTAAGTTGATAAACCGAAACCATTAGTCAACCGTTTATACATGTAGGAGTAATTGCCCATTTTTGAGTATTTGGTGAAATAACAGTAGATAGATAGAAACTGAATATAGAAAATAATGAACGGCACGACAGGATCTACTAACACATGAAATGACCAAAATCATCAGTCGACTCATAATAGGAGTTATTGCATGTAACAAAAGCTTTTTTAAATATCAAATTCTACCGAGATATAAGGAATGATTTTCTGGGGTTCTGTATACAGTTTGCGATTTTCAAATATGTGTTTCCTGAGTTAAAACAAAAAGTTATTGTTTACAAAGTATGGCTTGAGCGATTTATTTGGAATTTTCTAAATTATTAAGATTGAGAAGTGGTTTGAGAGTCAGAATAATTTCTGACGATTTTCTGGTTATATGGAATAACAATGATATAATTCAAATACACACACACATATATATATGTCCATAAATAAACACATTTCCAGCAGATTTGAAGTTTGACAAAAACAGAACCGGCATTTTATAAAGCCCAGTGGAATCAAAATATTTGTCCAACTTTATGATTATGAAATAAAGAAAGATTTCATTCGGATTATATAAACTATGTGGATAATGCTTATTTTTTAATAAGATTTATTTTTTCAAACTGATATTCATACTTCAATAAATGAAACAAATTTATGAATAAGTCCACACCTATACGTTAAATATAGGTCAAATCACCTAACCATAGT